AGTTTTGAATTTTATGTACAATCTAATATCCCTTTAAAATGAAACCATGTAATATGTTATGATTTTTCTGACAAATGGGAAAGTTTAACAGGGTAGAAAACTATATCAAAGGTTATATTTGTTATCTGTCTGTGGTCACAATTATTAGCTGTTTAGTTTGTATAAGTTAGTGGTGTGATTAGATTTTCTGAATGACAAATTGGTCTATATGATTCATTAATTAGGTAGTAGATTTTTATTAATTTATTCATCAGGTTATTCATTATGAAATTTATAGTATGCAATATTTTTATTGTTAAAGAGATTGTAAAGAGTTTTTCTAAACTTTGTATATGTATCAGGGACACTGATAGCATCAATTTACATCATTCTAATTTTCAATCAGACGTCTGTGGTTCTTGTTAAAGAGATTGTAAAGAGGTTTTCTAAATTTTTTATGTATATCAGAGACACTGATGGCATCAATTTACACCATTCTAATTTTCAATCAGATGTCTGTGGTTCTTGTTAAAGAGATTGTAAAGAGGTTTTCTAAATTTTTTATGTGTATCAGGGACACTGATAGTATCAATTTACATCATTCTAATTTTCAATCAGACGTCTGTGGTTCTTGTTAAAGAGATTGTAAAGAGGTTTTCTAAATTTTTTATGTGTATTAGGGACACTGATAGCATCAATTTACACCATTCTAATTTTCAATCAGACGTCTGTGGTTCTTGTTAAAGAGATTGTAAAGACGTTTTCTAAATTTTCTATGTATATCAGGGACACTGATAGCATCAATTTACATCATTCTAATTTTCAATCAGACGTCTGTGGTTCTTGTTAAAGAGATTGTAAAGAAGTTTTCTAAATTTTTTATGTGTATCAGGGACACTGCTAGCATCAATTTACACCATTCTAATTTTCAATCAGATGTCTGTGGTTCTTGTTAAAGAGATTGTAAAAAGGTTTTCTAAAAAAATTTATGTGTATCAGAGACACTGATAGCATCAATTTACACCATTCCAATTTTCAATCAGACGTCTGTGGTTCTTGTTAAAGAGATTGTAAAGAGGTTTTCTAAATTTTTTATGTGTATCAGGGACACTGATATCATCAATTTACACCATTCTAATTTTCAATCAGATGTCTGTGATTCCTGCAATTCCACTTAAACTAAGTGTTTGATGATGTCAAAGCGTCATGCAGAATCCATGTCTAAATATGGACTATGAATTGTGTAGATTGATAATATGACCAATGAGATTATGAGTCTGTTGATGCTCACTTGTAAAAGTGATTCTGATATTCTGATTGGTTGGTCGCGCATATTTGTCTGCTATGAATTGCTTCAAGAAATGTCACCAGAACACAACCTTAATATAAATCTTGTTAGATTACAATTGAGACCAAGAAAAATAATAATAACGAAACGAAACGAAATCTAATTTTTATTAGATTGGGGTACAGGGGGCACGAATATTCATTACTGTTATCCATAAAACAAGGTTTACCTGCTACAGTAAAACACGGTAAAATCATATTCTCCATCTTGATTATAATTTAAGTTGTTTCCATTTTATCTTCAGAAATTGACAGCTGAGAGAGAGTTGAAGCGACACAATGGGAAAAGGAGGCCAAAACGATCTTCAAGGATCCAAAGATATCAAGGCGTATTCGTGGACCGACGTCAAGGATCACGATAAAAGAAACGATAAATGGATCGTAATCAATAATGAGATCTACGATATCACAAAATGGTCACGACGTCATCCAGGTGGCAGCCGTGTTATCAGTCACTATGCTGGTCAAGACGCTACGGTAAGTGGTCATTAACATGATAGGTACGCCATTTTGGGGGTTGATTTCAGTGTTGAATATATGTAAATAGTCTTCAGAAATACTAGAAATGTACCAAAATCACATAATTCCTTTAAAAATACAACAATACACTATACATGGTCCTTGGCTTGGTTGATTTGAGTCTTGAATATATGTAAATAGTCTTCAGAAATACTAGAAATGTACAAAAATCTCATAATTCCTTTAAAAATACAACAATACACTATACATGGTCCTTGGCTTGGTTGATTTCAGTGTTGAATATATGTAAATAGTCTTCAGAAATACTAGAAATGTACCAAAATCACATAATTCCTTTAAAAATACAACAATACACTATACATGGTCCTTGGCTTGGTTGATTTCAGTGTTGAATATATGTAAATAGTCTTCAGAAATACTAGAAACGTACAAAAATCATATAATTACTTCAAAAATAAAACGATACACTATACATGGTCCTTGGCTTGGTTGATTTGAGTCTTGACT